TTGAGGATTCGTACTTTGCAGTGAAGAGTTTAACTTTCACTCGTGCCTTGACTTTAGCCACCAATCAGATAACCTCCTTTTAGTTAAGTCTATCGGCTTAAAGTCTATTTTGCCCTCCCGGTCCCTAAACCCCAGTGCTTTGAAAAACTCTGCGCCATCATCCTGAAGTATAGGGTGAAGCCCTTTACAGAACATTATCAAGTGTTCGGCAGTTTCTTCTTTCCTATCCAAACCCACTGCATACTGTGTCTACCCCTTCGTATTTGGCCCGATATGTCTTGGTTCGCAGTACTCCTGTCCTGGCCTCCAACAGTAGAGAACTACCCCGAGTATTATCATTAGATCCTTTCCTTGGCAATTTCCTGCTTAAAAGTTCGATAGATCTCTAGTGCGGACTTCTTATTCATGCCCATTCTCCACATGTCAGTCTCCGTTTCCTTCGCTTTCTTCTTAACCAATAGTTCTTTTTGGTTTGGCCACCTGCTGTTTTCTAAGTATTTACCAGTCAACTTCCTGGTTCGATTCCTTCATTTTGTATCGACATTCTTCATGTACAAGTAGCTGAAAACCTTCCTAGCCCAACGCTCCTCCCCCATTTCTCTCAATCGCTTCTCAAATTTTATCTTGCTGCTAGCTTCCCTGCCCTCAAATGATGTCCATCCCATATCACCTTGTACTACCTGATTTGGTCTTTTCCCGTGAGCTCCTAAAGCAAGCCTACCTATTCCACGTTGCTTAATTTCTAATCTTGCTTGAACTTCTGATCTCGTGCACAAGACCGCATTGCCGAACGTTAGCCCAGGAACCATGACCCCTTTCCATATTCCTCTCACAACATCATACCTATTGTAATTCCACAGTGCCCTATTTTTCATCACTGCTGCATTCCTGTTACCTTTAGTCGTCACGTATATTTCGTGTTCCCTCAGGCACTCGGTCCCATTGCTTATCCATACGCCCAGATATTTGTATTTATCTGTTATCTCTAGCGTGACCTCCTGTATTCTAAGCTCACTACCTTCGTTGTCATTGAAAATCATGACTGCTGATTTTTCCTTACTGAATCTAAAATCTAACCTATCTCCCTCATTACCGCAGATGTCCATCAATCTCTGCAGGTCTTCCTTGGTGTTGGCCATTAGCACCATATCACCTGCGTACATTAATGCTGGTAGTGCCTGATCAATAAGTTTTCCTTGCTTGACTAAAGAGAGGTTGAAGCCCAGTCTACTTCCCTCTAATTTGGTCTCTAATCCTTGTAGGTACATCATGAATAATAAGGGTGACAGGGGGCACCCCTGCCTAAGCCCCCGTTTTACCTCTGCAGGCTTGGATACCTGTTTTTCCCACTTTATAACTACCTTGTTACCTTTATAGATACCCTTTAAAAGATTAGTGACTACATGTCCCCCGCCTAGTGTGTCCAGTATTCCCCACAATTCCTCTTGAACCACGCTATCGTACGCTCCCTTGATATCCAAAAATGCTAGCCACAGACAGAGGCCTGTGTCCTTTTTCTGCTATTTCGATGCACTGCGTCAGTGAGAACAGATTGTCTTCCAACCTCCTGTGTTTCCGAAACCCATTCTGCAGATCCCCCAGCACCCCCTCATCCTCTATCCACGCCTGCAATCTTTTCTTTATAATCTGCATCGCCAGCCTGTAGACCACTGATGTCACTGTTATAGGACGGTAGTTGTTTATGTCAGCTTTGTCTCCCTTTCCTTTACAGATCATGCTCATCCTGCAAAGTTTCCATCCATCGGGAACTTCACCATCGATCATTATTTTGCTCACTGCCTCTCTCAAAGCATCCTTAGACTTCGGACCTAATGTCTTTATCAGCCTAATTGGAATGCCATCTGGGCCTGTTGATGTACTACTAGGAACCCTTTTCTCAGCCCTTTCCCACTCTCGTTGTGAAAATGGAGCCATTGCACCACTTGATTCGTCCTTGTCTATTGTGGTGCATAAAGTACTTCTTTGTTGAAATTTTTCTGTCACCCTTGTTCTTATATATTCAATAGCTTCGTTCCCTTCTAGCCTAGCACCTTGGGCTGTAGTTATAAAACTCTGCTCTAGCCTCGTCTCATTTCTTAGGGAGTTTAGATGGTTCCAAAATTTCGCAGCTGCCTTTCTATCTTTTTATGTACTTCTGCCAGCCACTGAGCACCCTCTCTTCTAATCTTTTCATTGATCAGAAGGGATGCGTCCCTTCTACTGCTTAGAAAGGTTTCCCATTTTCTTTCAACATCATCTGTCGGTTCACCCCGCTGCTTAGCATGTCTGTGTTCCCTAGAGGCTTCCTGACGTTTTGCTATGGCTCTCTTAACTTCCTCATCCCACCAACTCTTGGGCTTGTGTCTTCTTTCCCGGGGTGACTTGTCACGTGCCTTAGCAAGCTCTAGCTCACACAGTCTAGGTAGATTCGTGTATGTCCACACTGTCTTATTATCCTCCGTGATTACTTTCTCAATTTGTTTAGTGGCTATTTCAATTTGCCTTTCTGGATAAAAATTTTCCTGTAGTTGCTCATCTTGTCTCCTTCCCACTTTCACTGCTCTTCCAAAACTTAGCTTGATACGTTTGTGATCACTACCCAAACTTTTGGAGCCACCTTCATCCATGTACATTCCCCTGAGCTTATCATACATCCTATGTGACATTAGTGCATAATCTAATCGTCGACTGCAGCCTTCCTACCTCCCATGTTATTTGCCCTTCACACTTCTCGGTACTGTTGCAAATGATCAAATCAAGCCTTTCACACATATCCATGATCATTTTGCCTGTCGGGTCGGTATACCCATCTATATCTTCTATAGTGCGCATTCATGTCTCCTAGTATAATTATCTCGCACTTTCTTCCTAACTCCTGAATGTCCTTTGGTATACACTCTACCATTGCCTGGTTTTCCTCTCTGGCCTTTGCTCCCGTCCACAAGTACACGAAACCAAGGAGTGTCATTTGACCTGCCACTTTCCCTTTTAGCCATAAATGTTCCTTGCACTCCTGCTTGACCCTTTGCCAGTCTGTACTTTTTTAATGAATGCCCCAATACCACCCCCCTTTCTGCTGCCTTCTGTTCTATTACAATATTCCCACGCGTAGTCCGGATTGCTCGGAGGTTGTTCCATGTCCCTGAGATGTGTTTCTACAAAACCGTATACCATCGGCCTCTCTTCCCTTAGCTGTTCTTCTATCTCTTCCCACTTCAGCCTGTTCCTACCACCCTGCATGTTAATATACCCTATGTCTGAATTGGCTCGGCGCTCGTGGCTACGTCTATTTATGCCCGGACTCTACCTATCTTAGATATTGGTGCCACTTTAGAATCGTATCTGTCCATACCATCTGTCGAAGAGTCTCCCTGGTTGTTTTCCTCGTTACTAGCTATCCTGCACCCCGAAGGGCTCGCTTGCCCCCCAAAAAAGCTACTGCGCGTCCAGCAAGTCGCCAACCCACCTCATGACCTAGCCGCCCATCGAAGTGAATTCTGTCTCGTTGAAAACCACCCCACCTATGCACCTCTCTGTTTATTTCCACCACCTCAAAGCCTTTCTCTCGACTCATCCGCCATATATCTTGGTTTGCGTTGACAACCGCTCTTTGCAGGTTGCTATCACGCACCGGTACCTCCGCTATCGTGCATATCACTACCTGTACCTTAGGAGAAGTGGCGCGCATGTCATCGACGCCTTTCGCCAGTGTGGTTGCTAGTCCTGCTGTATCTTCATTTAAGATATCGTTGAAACCGCCTGAAGTTATCACGAGGTTTCGTCTATCAGCTGTAGTTTTGAGTTTCGCGCTCGCTTGCCCCATGACTGCTTCAAGCTTGCGTCCTGGGAACGCCCCTACTGCAACCCTCTTGTCTCCTCTTACCCTCTCTTTGATGGCTTCTGTGCATCGATTTAAATTCGAGTCCCCGGCGATTATCACATACTGTGACTTTTCAGCTGGAGCGTCCTGCATCTGGGGGCTACTTGCACCTGTGACGCCGGCTGCTTTGTCCCCTCCCAGCCCCACCACTACCTCGCTGAAGCTGGGCCTTGCGACAGTTGAACCGGCTAAACCTGTTTTTTCCAAACTTGCTTGCTCTTCCTTCTCAACCGTTCTGGTTGCCGGTTCCCTACTGTTCTCTCCGTAGGCCGCTTCTTTGTTCAGCTTCGCTAGTGCTTCCTCGGCGGACTTCAGTCTTTCTCCCATTGCCCTCGTTTTCTCTTGCTCTGTCGCCAACGCAGTCTCGAGCTCGGCGATTCTCATCAGCAGTTCACTCTGGGCAACCATCATTTTCTCCATTTTTTCCTCGACCTCACATTGCCTACACTTCGCGTCAGCCTCTTCTCCATCCACTGCTATGCTTGGGTCCACTTTCAAATCCACTCCACAGTCTTTTTAACCATGTCTTTCTGACACCAATTGTCTCTATACTCGATAATTACTAAACTCGAGCCCTGCACTATGAAAAAAAAGAAAGTCTACGCTATACTACAAAAATTTGCGTGTTCAATGTACGCGCACCTCCCCCACAGGGTGGCAAAAGAAAAAAAAACAAAAAAAAATTCAAACACACACACACCCGCACTAACTAATAAATACCCGGTGACTGGCCCCCGAAAAAGCCGTACCATAAAATAAGTGCTACGAAGATTTCAACCGCTGCCTTATAATTATAAAGACAAGCTCAAAACATGCAAAAACACTTATCTGCGCAGTCGATCCGGAGCGTTCAAAAAACACGTCCATCCACCGTGACAGCCCGAACTCATAGTGTCGGTCGCGAGCGCCACCGCGCGGAGCTTGTTTAAAACTGAAGGCAGGCCAACTTTGCTGGGAGCGCGAGCCTCAGGCATTTTTCTAGAGGAGGCGTTGCTTAGGTGGGCGGCGCCACTTATGTCGCCCGGAGCACGTGGTTGGTAAAGCCAAATATAGTTTATTGAATTCAACAAGTCAAAGTGCACTTTAATAAATATTTTCTAAAAACTAAGCAATCGCGTCACTTCGCATATTTAAAAACTGAGTTATGTAAAATACTTGGCCAGTGGCTTTTGTATTGTATCATGGCGGACAGGTATGATGGGGACTTCGGATCTAGGTAAGCAATAAATTGCTGTTTTTGTGTAATCACAGTTGATTTAGCGACGTCATCGCAGCGGTGTGACACCGTGGTCTCCAGACAATTCGGAAAGTTACGGATGTTCAGCGTACGACGGGTTTTAAGCTACGAATATCGGTGCATGCGGCATTAGCGTGGAGAAAAGCTCCCCCTCCACGGCAACACGTTTGGCTTAAACGCACTTCGTGTTCGTATAACAGCGTGTCAACTGCGAATGCTGTCCGCCTTTCGCGCATGAGCGTAGTGATTTAGCGACGTTCTTGTGACCGGCTGACAAGCTAGCAAACGAGGTGCTTGAGGCTCGCTCTCTTTTTGGAAGAGGCGAGTCGTGATCACCGCTGAAAATAATAATGAATAAAAGCGCGTGCCGATGATGTAAACGTTACGTTTCACTTCACCTGCCCGGGCTAGAGCCACAGCGGTTTCGACTGGCGAACGTTTCGGCGAGAATTCTCCGATTCGGAGGCGCTCTCGCTGCGTCGTGTTCCGGAATGCACAAACGGCTACCCGCTATGCAGCATCTTCGCGCCGGCTGCATTACTCGCTCTACTACGCTCCCTCTACGATGGCCCATTGCCAGAAAAGTATGGCAGTGTGTCGAACGCTGTGTCGTTTCAAAAGGCCGTTAACGCATCCGTTGCAACTCTGTGACAGTACTGGATGCAGGGAAGTTGAACTCGCGTCCTGTCGCGCGGAGCGGCGTGAGACGCAGCGCAGCCGTGCAGCTTTCACCGAGCGGCGCCAGATCTGCTGGACGGCAATCGAAAAATTATCAGGGAGCAATATATTCGATGCCGCCTACATGTCAAGCGGGCGAGTGTTCGGCGATCTTTGAACGTGCTTGATATGTGACCGCTTGTTGACGCCTAGTGCAGGCGTGAGCGCTGTGATACGGGTGATAAAGTGTTTGCAGTGTGATAGTGTCGTTGTCAAAGAACAGCCTTACGTATTCCTTTCAACCCATTCATGTTCAATCTACAGCCAAGTACCCATTAACAATCAAATTGGCTAACTTGTACATTGCATGTTAAGTGCACTGTTTCACTCTACGAAAGTGGTATGGTTAAGTGTTCATATGCACTGATGCCAAGAATTTGTGTGATAAGCATTGTGGCTCTGTAAAAGCTTTTGTATTTAAAATGAAGTGTTGCTGAAGAAACAACCTGTGTGCGTTTTATAGATTTGGAGGCCATCGAGATCACTATGGCAAGCCGTCTAGACCAATGCCCACAGAGCCCCCTTTCACAGCATTCGTAGGGAACCTCCCAGATGGCGTTGTGCAGAGCGACATCGATGAAATCTTCCAGGGCATCAGGGTGAGAAGGCATTGGAACACATTGATGTTTTCACTGCTTTGAGGCGCGCTGTTTATGTTGTGTTTAGCATCACAGTATTGGCGAACATAGCTGTAAAGTCATCACAAACTTATCCTTGGAGCTGCTCTTGCAAAAGGTGGATTCACATGATAAAATCTCTACCCACAGGTAGTGTGATGTGGTAGAGTGGGATTGTGTCACTAATTGCCAGTTGACTGTGGCCTTTTCTTGCCTTGCGATTTCATGCTGCTAAGCCACATGACACTTTTGATTTATCCTTCATCTGAATCAATAGTGTGTTCTGCTGGGTGAATCGCATTAAGGCACGCACCTGTATGAATAGCCTGGCTCTATGTGTACTGCATTGCATTTGTGCAAATAACCGTTATTTGCAGTTGTAATGACGGGTGATTCGTCACGTTTGCCCGTGCGTGGTCAATGAAACGAACAATACGAGATGACGCAGGAGGAGTTCTTGAACAGCATTTATAACAACAAGGGACTCGATCGAATATCACGATGACAAGCATAGAAGAACACACTTAAACTACCTAAAGTCAGAGTGGCTACTGTCCAATCTACGTGGCAACACGATAGCTCACAGTTGGTTGAACCAGCGTTCCAAGGAAGTGACAGTCCACGCACTGCGGTGACCCTTGTTCGTAGTGAGCTCAGACGCGCAGGTGGCACGTCCCACGTGCGGTCTCAGCAGCTACAAGGCCTCGGTCAGGCCTCACGTTTGTAGACGGTTTTCAGCAGTACCAGGTGGCAAGGACGATCCGGAACCCGTCGTCCCTGTCGCGCACGCCGACGTAGCAGGAACCGCACCCGGTGTCAATAGCCCCAGACAGGTACCTCTGCTCCTGGACCTCGATCCCCAGGGAACAGGCAGGAGGAGCTCCATGGACAGCGCCCTGGTTAGGCGTGTCCCAATCTTCAGGACCACCAGGCGAGCACCAGGCCCTCTGTTAGCACGTTCAAGAAAACCTCCAAGGACAGCGCCCTGATCCGGCGCGTCCATCGGCTAGGTCTGGATCGGCTCTTCGCGCGTTCCTCGTGCGCCTCTCTTCTTTTTCCTCTTGTGCCACCGCTGCACGTGCCACCTAGCGCTGGCTCGGCTTCTTGTCACCGTCCTTCTCTTCTTGGGACGCCCGTACAAACATCTCCAAATTTCACGAAAGTTCACATGCACACGCATTTATGCTACACAGAGTTCATCCATACATAACAACAGTGAAGGGTGACCAAGTTGCTGGGTAGATGTCTTAAAGAGACAGGCATGTGCATTTAGAAAAAATCGCCGTTCCGCCTCAATTGCAAAGCAGTGAATGCGATAGCAAAGAATTGAATTGTCATAGGAAGAATGGCAAGCAGCTAAAAACTTTGTGTGCTGCTCGAGCACAAGGGCGCAGGAAAAGAACACACACTGGACGAGTGCACACTAACAGCAGTCACATCTTCACACTTGCAGCATGCTATTCAAACTCAAACAAGAAGGCACAAAAAAGACACCAGGTAAAGACAGGATGAGCACGAACTGTCACAGTTGTTACTTCGAGCCCGTACTCTCGCTCTCCTACCTAGTAGCCCACTCTTTCTGTAAACACAGCCTCTGCAGCGAGAAAAGTTGCCTTAGTGCGTTCTATAGGTTCAGCACAAACTTTGGTGAAAGCTCCCTCTCAAGAGGTTAGCATGTGCGCACTGGCAACCACACACTGTATGTCAAAGTACAAGTCTGATGTGCACATCCGAACTCTGGCGAAACACTAGAGTGCTTTATAATGGGTGCCCCTGGGAGCCAGGGAATCCAAGAAATTTGCGAGGGGTGTATGCAAAGAATGTTAGCCACTCTCGGAATTTTGTGCTCACGCTGTGCCAAGATCCTGTAGCACCCCTCTTTGGGTTGCAAATGAAGCTGGAGAGGTTGTGACCCCTAGAGATTAAAATAAAGATGGCATTGGCACATTTTCTGCTGGTGTCAATTCTGGGCACAATGTGACATATATACTATGATTCTTGTTCAGCCATCTCGTTTCTTCTCTACTGTGCCATAAGCCTACAAGAGCCATAGTGTTCCCACAAGCTTGCGCCTCTGTGAGCCACGGGCACTCTTCTTTACCCTGGCCATGAGTGGCGCGCTGCTACAACTTAAAAAGCAAAAACTAGCGTGGGTGGCCAGAAACACTATGCCAAATGGAGTGTAACATAGCCCACGTCTCGCATACTCAAATTTTCGCTGCGTGTGGCATCCGGCGTGTTTTACCCAATGGCGCATGCATTTGTATTTGACCGTTAGTATCCTGGAGAACAAATTGTGTAATTGTCTAAGGCAGCGCACTGTGGAGTGAGGGGTTGCAGGTTTGCATTCCTGATTGCACTCTTCGAAAATTTCTTCCGAATTCTTTTTATTTGTGGCTTTTACGTATACATACATACAGCTCTAAGAGACATGCGTTGGGGAGCATTTCTTCAGAAGGGCTGGAAAGTGGTCTAGTTGGAGTTGAGTCGTCTTCAAAACTGCGCTTTGTAAACATGGACATGGAAGGAAAAGACGCAGTACACCATGCAACGAGCGCAATACAAAGACAGAGAAAGGTACGACGACACACCCATGTATTCGTAACTCCCTCTGACCTCGTGTTGCGCTGGTTGCGTCGACGAATATGCAAAAGCATGGTTTCATTTTTTTTTACCTTGTGAATAATGAGAGCCATATGTGTTTACATAGTTACGGTTCTGTCAGTTAGGCATGCTGTAGTACACTATGATACATGTTCTGGCATGGCCTATCACCAGCCACATTGAAAGAATAGCTACGATTGAACTACAGGCAGGGTAGAACCTATCTTTCTGAGGAAGCCCTGTGCTCCCATGTACTTTCGTGGTGTTCAAAACAAAAAGATTTGACTGTTGAAATTAATGTTTATTTCACGACTTCATTGTACAGTGGCAACATGTGCTGTTTGGCCCTTGTAATAAGGCTTGTGCATCTTCTTGCAGATCAAGAGCACCCGCCTTGTGAGAGACAAGGAGACTGACAAATTCAAAGGTGTGACACGCTTTTGGCTAGCTAAACTAGTGACAGCTTTGTATCGTGCTGCGTTATCATTCCGGCAGAAGCAATAACGCTTATGTAGTATTTCTTCGTTCTAAAAAAAAATGTGGGCACATTTATGCTTTAGTCTTTAAAGCCAAACATTCTGAACATGCGCTTAGCATTGAGGGGACTAGCTCTGTGAGCGTTACAGTTTGAAAAGCACAGTAACAGTTGCAGTGAGTTGTGTTGATGGACCTCTGCAATTGGCGAAAGGCTGTGGGGTTGATTCCTCGGCTGAGAAGGGAGTTCATTGGCTGATAAAAACTACAGTAAAACCTCGATGATTTGAAAGCTGCTAGACCTCAAAAATTCTTATAAATAAGCGAATTTTGGAGTGAACCAAAATGAAGGAAAAAAAGCAAGAAAAAACGCACTACAAAATGAAATCGCAGTCATATTCCATGTGAGAAAAAACAGTTCCTTGGAATAATCAGTGATGCTGGATTCATGTTCTCAAGCCTGCTCGCAACACGAGGCTTTTCACTATCACCACCACTGCGCTTGACAAAGCTTCGGAAAGTCTTCATGGTATCGACAATAGCCGCTAAAGTGGGCAACCGGGCTTGTTCGTTATCGTCACCGTTGTCATCATCGCCGACTAGCCCTCTGTTGACGATTTCGTCGTGCACCTCAGCGTACAATGTTAGGATATCTGCCTCAATATTTGAATGCTCCGCGAAGCTGAGTCCGTGTAGCGTGGCCCACATGAAAAACCAGAAATGAAAACCAGCTGGTTTTAGGTACTGACAGGAAACGACATTTAAGTCAAACCATGTCGAACGTTGGCTCGGAGATTCTGCACGGGGGTGGAGGGGGGGTGGAAACAACAACAACAAAAAAAAGGAATACACTTTGGCCGGCTAGGTGACTCTGGCTGCTGGCCAGAAAGTTAGTGGAAAAACTGAGCATGCCTTTGTCGCTCAACCAACTACGCGACCTCCAAGATATGGGTTACCAGGAGGCAGCTCTCGTACGTTGTTGCTGGCGGGAAATTTCGAATTATCCGGATGGAGCCTCACGGGCTATTCAAATAATGCGGTAGAATTTGCATTGAAAATGACAGGATCACTCAGATTCTTTATATGAATCAAAATTTCGATTTAACCGAGATTGAATTAGCTTGCCCGTTTCTCCCCCTCGATATCAATTACGCCACCAAACGAGAATGCCACCACTTATGCGAACTAACTACGGGCGTCAGGACCTTGAGTATCAAGTACCCCGGCTATTGAACATTGTTGAACATCTTATAGATTTTCATGCACCCCGCTTTAAAAAATTGATAAAGAACTTCCTGTTACATTCCACGATAACTTATCAATAAAATATATCTGTCTAATTTTCTACGTGTACCGCATATACAGTTTGTGCTACAATTTGAAAGTTCACAATTTAATGCGTATAGGTATATAATCTTGGAGTGTCTGTATGATATGTTTGTTTTCATGAAGAGTTTTCATGTATGATGTCTATCTGTAATGCTTTATTTGCAGTGACAATTATGTACATGCATGTTTTGATTTTTCTGGTTGCTCTATTGTTTGTATACTTGCATTGCATGCAAACATGTACACGCATACCGAATGCGCATGGGAGTAGGAGCCTCTGTCAGGCAATACGGCCTTTAGCTCTTACTCCTCTTTCTGTATCAAAAAGAAATAAACTTCAATTCAATTACTGTACCTAACAAGAGGTGGGCAGTGGAGAGGTGGTGAGAATGGGATCTGAAAACATTCACTCTGGTACCTTCAAAGGGTTCGTATGGTGTTAATAGGGCAATAGAAAAATGGTACACAATAAAAAAAAATAACACGTAGGCAAACAGAGCACCACGATGTTGTAGCTTGTACCTGCCATACTACTATATTGTCAAACTTGTTTATCAAAGCTGTGTACATAGAAAAATCCATTACATTGAACGATTTCAATAATATAATGCTGCAATGATAATACATAGCATGAATGAATGGTTGCATCTAAAAAGCATAGCAGGGACTCAGATACATCGAACTTCAAGCAGCTTATAAGTGCCCCAAGAAAAGGGTTTTCCAGTGTAGTGGCTGTGGAAAGCTGCCAATGCCCAATTTAAAGGCTCATTCACTGCAAAAGCAGAGTGGCCTTAGTGGTGAAGCAGATATTTGAGTTGGCAAGTGTGCTTTCCTGCTCGGATGGCACAGCTTGCCTGGCTGCATGCTCCACCACGTAGGTGGGGCATTTCACGCACTTGTGTACGTGCTGCCGTGGCGTGGCGCTGATTGTGCACTACGCCATCAGAGTGCCACTGAACCTGAGCTACATGCACAGTTCTCATGCCATTTCCTGGTCTCAGATGTTTCGCACATGGGTGCCTGTCAAATGTGGTCAGCTTGGACTAGGAAGACCGTATACTTGATGTTCTAAGGTTAGTGGCATGTCAAGAACAACTGGAAGCTCTTGAAAACTGGCGCCGCCAATGTATCCCACCTTGCAGCAATGAGCAACGTCCATTAGCAACAACAAGAGTGCTGTTATGATTGGCTGCAGCAAAACAGAAACCTTTGGCAGGTAAGACCACTTGGTCCCCAAGCGATCCAGCTAGGCGCCTTATTTTCCACCTGCACCAGCCGCCTTGTCTCGAACAGATATAGAACGAAGACGAGGCTTTTTCTGCTTGGCCTCTCCGCCTTTGGTGTGAACGAGTCCTTGAAAGAGGTGGCTTGGTTCACCAAACCCGCCCTGGCTAGGCGAGTTGCCAGCACCACCCTGCTAAGAAGTCATCCCGCTCCGAAGCTTACGTGCTTGCAAGCCCTTGCCATTCTGCTGGTTTCTTTGTGGTGGTTCATGAACTGTTGTCCTCTGCTACCACCTTGGAGCTATTGCTAGCATGAAGTAGCATTATATTTGTTGTTTATTACAAAGCTGGTAGATGTCAATCAAGTGGAGAAGTCTGCACATCACTGCATGCGTAGGAAATTCTAAGGAGCACCCTACAATAATCATGAACAAGAGGCCTGGTGTCCATAGCGCGTGGAACATGTGCCCTGCCACACACAAATGATTAGTTGACTTATCAGGTGCTTTCTTACTTCTGTGGGCCTTGCCTTCATAGTTTTTTACCCTTCGCTGCCACAGCAATCTCTTTGCAATTGTACCTGGGGCTGAATTGTTGCTTTGACAACAGAGAACAAATTCCAAAGGACACTTTTTTGTGTAGTAAAAAAAGTGTCCTTTGTAATATGTCTGTTGTTTTAATCAGGATTTATTTTTATGCTCTAAATCATGACCCATGACAAGATTCTTTAATAGAGTAACTCTTTACTTGTTGCGAGCGTGTTGTAGTCACATTAGTCATCAGTTGTTCTAGTGCTTACTGCTGAGCTTGACTCTTAGCTCTTGACTCCTTGGCTTATTGGTTATTACTCCTGCTAAAGTGTCACGTTACATTTTGGGCTTACGAGTTACTTGACTTCTTTTTTCTAGGCTATTGCTATGTGGAGTTCTTTGACCTTGAATCCCTGAAAGAGGCATTGGATTTTGACTCAGCTGTGAGTAGAGCAGTTATCTGATCACCTTCATTATTGCTGTGTAATGGTATTGTAATACAGTTAACTATTCTTGATTTGTCACAAAGGAATTATTGCTGTGGAACAGTTTTGGAACACAGTTAACTATTGTTCATTCATCACAAAGAGAAATAGCAAATTAATTGGATTGTCCAGTGGGTTGAACCACAAAAAGCATAGAAGAAGCGTGTTGGCATGCTGCTGCTTTACTTACCATAAAAACTTGTACATAGGTAGAATTAAAAAAAAAATGAAAAAGAACTCATCATAAGTGATCACGGTCTTAGATACGGGTCATTGGAAAAAAAAAAAAATTGTTGAGCCTGGCCACTATGGGCAACTGAAGTCAGCCGCCTCCTATCGCCATCGCATTGTTTACTTTCAGCCGTGTGCCATGAGTGTTCTCATTTTAAGTTTTTGTTGTCCTGTGAATCTATTAGGGCTCTAAGGGACTTTTTTCTTTCCTGGTTCTCAACTGGTGCCCAATGACAGTTTACCGTAGCATTCAAGAAAACAGCGATCGAGTTTGCGTAGGAGTGAACAAGTCTTGTCTGAAGTGTGTGAAAAAGGCTTTTACATTCTTTGCCTGATGAATGCGAGGAGGAGCCGTGTGCCACAAAATGAAAGTTTATTTTTGCGCGGGATGTTCTCGCTGCCGAAATCTCGTTGGATACACTTTCCTTGTTGCTTCCTGTGATGACAGCAGCTCAGATTACAGCAGCAGACACGTATGACTATGATCAGCGGGCAGATCTAGTGCTCCACAAAAGCATTTGCTCTGGCGGATGCTGAAGGACAGGTAGCGATCAGAAAAAAACATTTGGGGTTCTTGCTACGCAGCAACATATCTGTAGCTGAACACAAAAGTCGCAGAGTTCATCAAATAGTCGCGCTCGTGTCGTGGTTGCTACCAGTGACCTCAAAGTGCATTTGAATGAAAATATTCAATACGGTTGTGACGTTTGAGAGCCTATCTTTTTTGGCTTTCTGACAGTCTGAACGTACATGTGCACACATGCAAAGAAATGGAATTTTAACTGTGCATCATTTGAAATTGCATTCTTTTTTTCTTTTCTACTAAAGGCCCCTTCTGCTGCTTTGGCTGTTCTTGTACTCTTTCTTTTCTTTTGATTTGCAGTAGTTAGCAGTTGAGAAGTCGGCCTAATATTCCGGTCTGACCTATTTTCTGGTTTTTAGGGTAGTAGAATTTGCCTGTATTCTTCAAAGGATACTGGGATGTAATGCACTTTCACATTTATGGATTCATAAACTAATGATAAGTGCACATGCTACTCTAATGCAAACTCGATTTTTTTGACAAGACAAAGGTAGTAGACCTTCTTGAAAAAAATATTTTCATTGCAAACACATTCAAGCAGTTCTTTATCATTAAGCAGTTCCTTATCATTTATCACAACATGCCATACTCTGATGAACTATGATATTTTTGATTTCTTGAGTGACTATGCAGCCGTGGAATTGCTAGTTTCTTGACAAAACAGTGTCGCGGTTAATTATGCAATGCTTGACTCCAACGTCCTAAAAATAAATATGTGATGCAGTTTCATTCTGCTGTTATTCTGTGTGTGTTACTGTACCCTAAAGAGCAGCAACAGAGCTTCCGGTGGCCGTCACATGCAGGAGTCATGCGACGTGAAAGGAAACTTCACATATGATGTCATAGGAGCGCCAAAGTTCGAATAAAAGGGAAAGGTTCTGCGTGGCATATTGCATAAGCATAGATATTTTGCCAGTGTCAGCTCTGGGGTCAGTAATATAAGGCATGCTGCTTCCCCTGTCTCACTATTGTGCCAGCATCACTGCTGCCAGAACCAGAGTCGCCAGCAACGTGTCGCCTCACAAGTTACGTCATGTGTGGCACGTTTGTTCAGGTCTCGTGATTGTCACGTATGTTATAGTGAATGGAAGTTCTGCTGCTGTGCTTATTAGGGCATGGAAAAGCATTGCTACAATGCTAGGCAGTCAGCCAAACAGTCTGCAAGCATGGACCCATGCAGCCAAACTGTTAACTGTCACTACTGCATTCTCTCCATGACCAGTGTTGAAAATACTTACCTTCTGGCTTTGCAAGCATTTCTCGCTGGAAAACCTTTATCAGGAATAATTCACTGGCAGTTCTGTGTACCTTTGCTGTGCTTTGCATGTAAAATGTGCGGAAATAATGTATTAGTGGTTTATTATGGGTTAATTTAGAATAAGCGTTCACTCTATAGTCATTTGTGATTTCTCATCAAGTGGTATTTGTGGAAAAAGAAGTTCAGGGTAAGATGAAAGTTTGGAATAAAAAGTTTGTGAACATGGAGTGTCACTGGAGTTGACATTTCGAAAAACGAAATTGTTGACCTCAAGGCTGCAATTGTCTTCTTTAAGACTGCATCCTTGAAATAAGCAAGTTCGCTTGTCGAAAACGTTGGCTCCAGCAGCACCTCGTGTTCATGAATTTTTCATTTTTAGTAGAAAGGCCCAAAAAAAAAACTGAATGTACTGCTGTCTGCTTTTTTGTCTTTCTTATGCCAGTCCCATGCAAGCTCCAGTAGAACTGATTGCAGTGTTAGTTGAGTTGGCCTTGCATTGTAACTTGGTTGTTTCAGCTCAGAAAAGATAATAAATGCAGCTTTTGGGGCCTAGTGCCCGTTTTCGTCTACTTTGTATTGGGCTTGTTTTATTTGTGCTTAATCAACCAAGTTGTCTTCCTTCTGTCTGGATTTCTTAAGCAGCTGTAGTAATCACAGCAGCATAAGTTCACTAGCAAATTTGAAATATACAGAATTACCTGTACAGTGAAATACCTTGGCTTGTATATGCAGGATCTTCAGGGCCGATCACTGCGAGTGGATATCGCTGAGGGCCGGCGGAGTGATCGGGGTGGAGGCTTTGGCAACAGGCGAGGTGGACCAGGTGGAGGAGGTAAGCATATGGCTGTTTACTACTCAGTGTTTGTTTTACAATTTCATCCACCGTTTTCAATGCACCAAGAAGGAACAGATGAGATTCGCTGAGTTCCTTTCTACTGCTCCGTGTCTTCAGTGAACACCGCATTTGCCCCGCCGTGCTGGTCTGGTGGCTAAGGTACTCGGCTGCTGACCCACAGGTCTCCCATGTTCTTTTCTCATGTTTCTCATTTGCCGTCCTGCAGTTTCACAATTCAATCCCTTTTGTATATTCCAAAGTTATTCAGCGTTATGTGGTAGCAGTTAGTGTATCACAGCACGAGTGGCACCAGACAGGAATTTTGCAACATTTAGCATTGCCTTACGAGTTTCAGAGGAGGTACTCTTGCCCACTTGTGCTTTTCACACCTTTAGAACGTGCAAGCTCGAAAACACTCATCAGTGAAATTGCCTCAATTCCTTGTATTGGTTTTAGGAGCAATGTTTCTCACAAACATTTTCTTCAGAAAAGGGATCAGATTACTTAGGCTCATGCTGTAATGCTACCTCCATCACCCTGGTGCAAGGAAGTGTTCGGTGAAAAAGGCTTTTCAGTTCTCTTGCAACATGCTCTGCAACTAAATTGTTAATTTTTTATATTGTAAGCATGGTAACTTTTTAAAATTATCACACAGCAGTCTAGTTTGATGTATTGTATGTTTTTTTATTTATACTTTTGCTACGCTATACAGTCGAACCTGTGTATAACGTACTCGAAAGTGCCGTGATAAGTGGTCGTTATATCAGTAGTTTGTTGTGTATGGACTCGGCCCTAAATCGTACACTTGGGGACTCAATTGGGTTTTTGTGTGTGTGTATTTCCATTAAAGAGTGCGAGCAACCCCTCCAGTGACAGGTTAGGCCTTTTTACGTGTTAAGGGGAGAACTTTTTTTTATTTCTAGCCATAGACACTTGAAAATTTTGTTGTTGTTACAGTTTTTCATGGAGATTTCAAATATGCAATCATTTTTTTTGTAGCTGCTATAGTTATTGAGTTACGCCATGCACAATAGCAAAAAGTTACATGTTTTGCGGGTACTCTTTCATGTACTTAACTTTCAGTAAAATCATTGTCTTTGATCTTATTTGACTCTTGGTAGATTGTAAAGTGCAAATATCTATCCAGATATGTCACAGAAATATTGAAGCCAAGGAAAAAAAATCGTATTGAATGACTAATTATTTTCAATCTCCCTTGAAACCATAACCTATTATTTTCAGAACAAGTTCTGGTAGGTATTGCAATTTCAAGTAGGTATTTGCATTCTTCATGTGTTGAAGAATATGCATGCCAAGTTTCGTTATTGTACAATAAGTATAAGTGTCTAAAAGGCTTCCCGGAAAGTGCGAAATTGTCAAGAAAAATGAAAATGAGAAAAACAAGCTTGAAAGTTTGGAAAGTTGGCATTTATTAGGAAACCATTTTTAAAAAATCAAATTGGGGCACAATGAAAAGCATCTTGCAGCTGAATGCTCAAAAGACCGAGAATCGCACAGAATTGTGAAAGTTGGTCATGGCCTGCGCCTATAGCGCGTGCTGCCAGAACTGCCTTCAACGTTTACAGCAAAGCTATCACGCGAGCTGCCGTTGTCGAAACGAATGGTCGTCCCTTGGTCCCTGGCCGAAGTAGTACATCTCGACGCATGCGTGAATGAAAGTGTAGCTTCAGGGCAATCGGTATTTTCATAGCACAGTTCGAGGAATGTCAAAAGCCCTTTGCGCTTTCCAGCTACCTCGGACGCAGAGTTCCCGTTCACGGCAGGTTGGGCATTGCGCACTCGCCACAAGGGCAGTCAGCGCATCGATTTCGCAAAGCAGCATGTTGGCAGTAGCAGCACCTACTACTCTACGTTCAATCTCGAAGAATCCGCTCTTCATTCGGGATGCACTGACGAGTTCCATGGCAGCGGCTATTTCACAACCACTGTCTTCGTGGGGTTCGGTGTCAGTTAGGCCTATCAGAAGTCGGGGCGTTAGTCGGTGGTGACATCTAGAGTTACTGTATATGCTATCTTTAGGTAGCAGAGTTGCGCCAAGGTACGCCATCTTGGGTTCAAAGTCTTGTGGGAAAGCCCCTCACCACCTGCATGGGAGCAGCGCTGACGCTCTAGAGTACTAGCGTTGCTTTATTTATTTTTTTCGCTTTTTTTCTCTCTATTTTTTATGAAAGTACAAGAAAAACTCGGTTGCTCTGATCACGCCTGGAAGCCTTGATTTTATGTTGACGTTTTTGGTATGCAATAATGAAAAAACGTGCGTCAGCTCGTTGAACCAGTGATACATATGTATATTTCTGGTAGGCTGCTCATTACCTCCGGCTTTTTTTGCGCTGTTTTTCCCATTTACATGTATAAAATTATTTTTCACTCTTGATCGCTATCGAGGGAGTTAGGGATGAAATATTTTCATTGCGTCGGGCTCATTCCTTAACTGTGTGAGTTAACCAGCTGAAGCCTTGTAGTCTTCAACTTAATGAAGCTGGATAGCGATCGAGAGTGGCCGTGCGAGGCGCGCGTTACGCGCAAATCTCCTATAACGCTCGTATTACAATTGTGGCTAACGCGATTGCTACCCGCTACCTAAATCGTTGTTCAACAACCCTGTCGTGTCCAACATTCTTTTCACTTAAGGTTTCAAAGCTGCATTCAATTCACGAACTAGAAGCAACACCTTGCCGATTCAAATAGTTCTAGTTTAAATTCTCTCTCTATTTTTAGCGTTTTAAATGCCAGACAAATTTGGACGTATGCAGCTGACACACGCTGGCCAACTCTGCATGTATAATGTATTCACTACTGCATCGGTGGTCAATACAAATAGAGCAAGTTTTGCAGTGCCGTGGACAGATTTTAAAAAAAAAAAAAAAAAAAAAAGCCAAGTGCATGGGCGTCAGCAGAGAAGTGGAAAAGGGGGCACTTGTGCCCCTCAAGCCACATCAGCACTTACAGCCTCGTAAGTGCTGTTACAGCCACAATAGCACTTACAGCACTTGCCCTCACCCAAGCTAGACCAGTGCTCTCGCTCTCCTTAAACCACGATGCAACAATGGTTTGCACCCCCCCCAAGAGAAAATCCTGCAGACGACAATGTCCAAGCATGTATTCCTTCTGACTGAACACTAATCTTTCTATAGCAACACCCACTGCACCAGTGTCTAATCACATGGGCTCTACGTAGTAGAATTCAATACAGAATGCATTTGCTGCCGCATTTCTCGTGACTAACAGGCAGCATGGCTGCATTATCGAAGAAGCGCGGCGAGAATGACAACAGCTGTTGTCAACCCCGCTTGGTCTGCCCGGAATCTGCGTAGCGTTGGCTTCTCCACAGTGCAAATGAACCACCTATGACCATGTGATGGTGCTCGACGAATAGGGGTGCTCAACTACTGTAGGCGGAGCGAGCGGCGCCTGGAAAACAGTTGCGCAACTCTGCTACCTAAAGGTAGCATATACAGTAACTCTAGTGACATCGGCATTCGCTGTCGCTTTGGGAAGCGCCCGACGCCGTTTTCCTCGATACTTGGGGCTTGGGAGTTCTGAACTTTCGATTATCTAGACTGCGCTTCTCGGGGCTTGCCATGACGCAAAACCGCAGAGAAACACCGAACAACTCGATTGCGACGCCCGAGGCTTCGCTCTTTTGCTGGAAGGATAGGAGAAGGATGCGGAGCGCACCGCCGACCAATGGCGGCCTCGCGCTGCTTGTCGCGATATTCAAAATGCTTAATGTATGCGTTATTTTTCTTGTTTTTGGTTTGTTCTTCGTGAAGATACGAGACTGGCTACTAGTAGATTGTGAAGGGGGAAGGCCTTCGCAGCATGCGTGCACGATTGCAAATGGCGGCCAATGCGTCCTTTTCGCGACAGTACAACGCGAACTATGCCATTTTTGGCGGCTTTCGCGCATTTCTCACGTTACCGCTCCCTACTTGGAAGCATTTTTAGACAATTTCTCGTTGTAGTGACACGCATCCCGAAGGAGTACGGCTACTAGTGTGGGTCCGGTCTTAGCGAGCCGCAGGGCACGCATTAACCGTCGCCGTGGCGAGAACACGATACTGCTCAAAGTCGCAACACTTTATTGTCTGTGGCACACCAAACGCAGCACAGCCCATTGCGAAGGCGGGGCGGGAAAGCAAATAGGCTTACCCACGCCACAGGCATAAAAGTACTACACAGGGTGCCACGAGCACGTCTCCGCGGTAAAGGTGATTCACGGAGACACCGGGACCAAGGCCCGGTTGCTCAAGCGAGGGCAAAGGCGCTCGCGTTGGCTTCGGAGGGAGACGGGTCGGCGTAGCTAGGCCACGCACTAGGACACCGTACCACCCTTCGGCCTAGCGTTCGGAAGGGGGGGGGGGGGCGACATAAGGTAAGCGTTCGCCGCGTGCACAAGGCGCTGTTGGCGAAGTCCGAACGAGCCCCGCAGGGGGCTGACGGACGGGAAAGAAAAGCGTGCTTGCCCAATGTTGTCCCCGGAGAGGTCTCTCCCGCTTCCGACGCAGCGTACGAAAACCCCTCGGGAGACTCCGCGTGCGGCGCCATAGTCAACATCCGCTACCGGGTGAGGGGGTTAAACGTCACTCCGCTCCCCCAGCGCGGCAGACAGCGGAGGAGGGGAGACATGTCCGGACATGAGAACGGAGAAAGAGGCGGCAAAGCCCGCGCAAAGGCAGCGGGCTGGCCTCAATTCCCACATCGTGCAAATTTCAGCTTGATATTTTCAGAAGTAAACGATTATACAGTGAAACCTCGTTAAACCGTACCCGCGTAAACAGTAGTTTCGTTTTACAAGTAGTGAAGTCAAATCCCCCACTCGGAGGCCATTGAACATAATGCATTTTGTATCCGCATAAGCCGTACCAGCTTATTGCGTATGTATTGGTTAATAAGTAGTTTTTCCAATTTTCGTTGCGCACTCGCCGCGGCATGTCGTCCCCCACTGGGCGCCCCGACAGAACAGCAAGCCCCAGAGATAAAAACACGCCTCGCTTGTTGTGTTGATGATGATGGCGGCTGTGTTGGTGAGTGCCATTTCTTGCATTTTTCTGCAACAAGAAGCACTCGGCCGGTTAGGCTTCTGGTGTTGTCCACGTGATGGTGCTTTGCACAAACACGCAAAGACGGTGTGCGCTTGCTTTGCTTCCTTTGTTCCTTTGGCGCCGTGCATAGGTGTTCTCTGGTTGATCCGTGCCGCACAGCTCTCGCGTCGTTTTTCATCGATCGTCGTTTTGCAGCTAAGAACAGAAGAGTTGTTATTATTTTAGACAACGCTTCGGCGCACGTCGCCCTGGACAACCTGACGGCTGTGAAGTTGGCGTTTCTGCCACCAAACACAACAGCGATTGCCCAGCCCTTGGACCAAGGCATCATTCGAGCTGTAAAACAGCTCTACAAGAAGAATCTGCTGCGCAGATTTCTTCTCTCCATTGAATGTGGCAAATTATTCTCCGTCGACCTGATTGGCGCGATTCACCTGCTCGAATACTCGTGGCGGCAGGTTGAAGCAACGACAGTTCAAAATTGCTTCAAGCGTGCTGGCTTCAGTGTGTGTGCGGGCGACACAGATGACGCCAGTGACACCATCGACCAGACTTCGGACATCGTAGACGAAACCTGCAAAACTCTGCTAGCTGAAGTGCTGGAGCGGCAGGGCGTTACGGAAGGCATTTCCTTCCCCGACTTCAGAGACGCAGACAGCGATGTGCAGACATCTCCGGACATGTCCGATGAAGCCATTGTTGCCTCGGTTGTCGAAGTCTTGCCAAATGATAGTGATGAGGACGACATGGAAAGCGACAACACGGGTGATCCACGTCCGACAGTGGCCTAAGCTGCGCATTGCGTCAGCGTCATGCGGGTATTTGCCGAGAAGAGGGGGCTGGCGGAAAAGCTGGCTCACAGCATAAGTGAGTTTGAGGCCGCTGTCGTTGCTGCTAGGCCGCTGCGTCGTCAAATAAAGATTACAGACTTTGTCACGCAAAGTTAATAAATTACTGCACGTTTTTTGTTCTTTCATCGCACTCCCTGAAGGTTTCTTTTTTTGACAGGTAAGTGAGCGACCTGATGCTATTTCGGTTAAGCAGTACTACCGTTTAGTACATACTTTTTCCAAGCTCCGGCCAACTACGGTTTAACGAGGTTTCACTGTAGTCCAAGGATGCCACTACAACACCCCCCCTCCCAAAAAAGAAAGTTTTCCAAAAAACTGCGACTTTTCGATTCACATCTTCCCTTAAGCGACTCCCGCTGTGTGCTCCCGTGTGAAATAAACGCCGTTTGCCATGAACTCGCGCTGTTCCACTGAAGCACAGTACCGCAACCAATCATTCCTGGCTAGTTGCGTGCAGCGGGTCGCTTACTTGGCTTTTGCCGTCGCATGCCGGGCTGTTTGCAGTCTAATGTATGCGTGCGTTCACATATGCTCCACCTCGTATCGTGCTCTGGTGCGGTGAGTGCGTGCCTTCATCATTCAACACGACACTCAGCCATCCGCTCTTCTTCCTTCATGCATTTTGCGAGCGACAACACACAAGCAGCCTTGCACAATGCTGCGGCTGCGAACGGCAACATGACATGCGTGTACAGCCGTCACACCTCGGGGTTCAAACACACGCAGCTGAGCAGATATTTGCAGGTGACTGTGTTAACATTGTTGGCAACGAGTCAAAGTGGCACGTTCTTCGCCAGCAGCAACCTCTCGCCTTCGCTCTCTAGATATGCTTCGCTCTCTAGATATGTAACAGTAGGAGGCTTTGAAAAATGTTCGCTATATGTGGACACAATTTCTGGGTCGCACAGGAAACTCATAAGTGCACCAAAATATGGTCGTTATGAATGATAGATAGTTATATTTGGGATCGTTATAAGTGGGTTCGACAGTACTTACAGACCAGGACAAACGAGACGAAAAGGCATATGCACAAATATGTGTTCTGTCTTATTATTGTTTGTCCTGGCCCATTAGTAGTGTGCAGCAGATTAACTATGCCATAGCTACCAGTTCACATTGAAGCCCTATTGATCTGTTTTATTGTGTGACTGTAAGTGTTGTGTTCTATTAGTGGTCGTGTGTGTGCTGAGGCAATCGTGGGGTCTTCCAACTGCAGGTTTTGACCGGGGCGGCGGACGAGGGGGCGGGCCCAGGGACGGTGGGCCACCTCGTTACGGAGATCGAGGAGGACGACCAGGAGGTGACCGTGGGGGCTTCCGTGGAGGCTTCTCGGACCGCCCCAGCGACCGTGACTTTGACAGGTCCTGGTCTGTTGAACCGCACCGTGGGTCAAGGATTAACACGAGAGCGAGTCGACAGTAGGACCTGACAGCAGTTGCTCGTCTTGTGCTCGTGTTGGTTCTTGATCTGCGATGAGGCCAACGCCAAAACCCCGTTTCTTTTTTTCACACAACTCCAGATGGTTTACTTAGTGTGGCTGAACTGTGATGGTTGTCTGGTAATGTGTGACAAAACTGACTCTAGTTATGCTGTGCCCAGGGGCCAATTCATGCATTAGGTTACATTATGTCAGTGACTTACTATTCCTAGACAGGTTAGGTGTTGTTGGATTCAGCCCTCAAGAGCTAGTAAGGTTGATTTTCGATGTTTATTTTGAGCTTGAATAAATCTGTATGCCAATATTGGAACTCCATAATGATGGGCCTGGTATATTTCAAAGAAAGTGATACTTGAGTAATGAGTTATAGAATCAAATGAATCCAAATGGTCTTGTGGTGACCACCGTGCTACTTTATCGGTGTAGGTGCCATAGCAGTTGTCGACAGTTTGTAATTTTACGATGGAACAATCATTGTCAGACACATTCGAGGAATAAAGATAAGTTTCTGTTAACTAGTCTGAAATTAATCCAATAATCAGAAAAAGTACTTTAAAATAGACAGGAAAATGTTGCCAAGTTTATAGGAAATTTAATTTTGTCTATCTTAAAGACGATTAAACCTTGATGTAACTTTATTTCGTTTTTTAGAGACACTGTTAAGTTGTAGTTTGACTTCATGCGCAAAGCATTGTTGTCGCAGGACACATTTTTACGTGAAGAATGCTGTGACGACGTTCGAATAATACTGCAGCACTCACAAAAAAAAAATAATTGCGTAAAGGATAAAATTTAGGTAGCTTTCAGTTTCCTTTCAGTTTTCTTTTTATTTCGTCCCTCTATTTCTCTACTTTTTTATTAATTTTTTCTGCCTTCATTTTTCTCTCTTTACTTAATATTTTTTCTTCCTCTCTGTATATTTATGTCTTTCGCCTTCTCACTCTATTTTTCATTTTGCACTTCCTTTTTTCTATATTTATATCTGGTTTTGCCTTCACCACGCCAGTGCACTACACTCAAACCTCGTTATATTCATTATTTCGTTATATCGATTATAACAGTTTGTGGCAATGTATGCTCAGATGGGTGCACACCTGTAACCATGCAACGAAGGAAACCGCCTCGCAGCCCGATGTACCGCTACGTGACTAAAATAAACACAGTCTAATCTCATCAATTCGAACACGCTTAATTCAAACTTCTGGTTAATTCGAACTCACACTGTGGTCCCGTCAAAGCTATGTGTATAAAAAAAAAACCGCCCTGTAATTCCAATGCGCAAGCACTTGCAACGGTTAATTCGAACATACTGCGCTCCAAAAATGCTCTCAGCACCATGCCCGATTCCGAGGTGGCACCTCTCAACGATGCGCGTGAAGAAAGAAAAGAAAAGGAAAGAAACGCCTGTGGCAGATTGTTTGCTCTCTCTCAAATGCTGATCTGCGACGCGCCTGTGCCACGCTTATCCCTTTTCCGTCTCTGCACGTAGAGACCCTTCTCCTTTCAAGGCCGTGCACAGAGAGAGGAAAAAAAAAAAAAAAAAGCTGTCGCGTAGAGTTGGCTCTCTCTCAAATGCCGATCTGCTTCTCTCAGCGTGGAGACGGTCCTCCTTTCTCGGTTCAGAGGGTAGTAACGGAGACGAAGACGCTACCGTCGTCTTTAGAGCGAGTTGATGCTGGACTTAGCTGCAAGCTACTATGCTTTGCAAGCTGCATGCGAAGTTGATTGACTCGCTGCAAGGACAAACGTGTGCAGATGCGCATCACCAATTACTTTATTAATGAAGGATGTCCCCTGATTTGTGAATAGGTGTAAGTCTTCTGAAGCTTCCCCATCGTGAGAGGGAAATCGCTTTGCACCGCGGCTCCGCTTCTCGGTCATGTGACCCGCTGAGCGCTTCCTCAGTTCTTTCCGCTGGCTGTGTGAAGAGAACGGCTCTCCCAGCCGCGCGTGGCGTGGCTGTAAGGTCGGCGCGGGAGTTTTGAGAGAGCCGCGCCAAACGAGCATCAAACTCCGCAGAAAATGATATACTTAACACACTACGGTTGGTTTTTTTTTGATAGAATATTTGATAGACTAATTTAGTTTGTTATATATATTTACTAGTCAATTTTATTTCGTTACAACGAGGTTTAAAATGCATGGTTCTCAATGGAGCTTTCGAGGGGAATTTAATTTACTTCGTTATATCTATTGGTTTGTTATATCCCGTTAAGTTATAATGACGTTTGAGTGTAGGTTATTTTTTTCTTGCTGATAAGTGATAGTCATTAAGGCACTCGAAGAACAAGAGAAAGAAGACATCTTCTCGGTGTGAGCGCGTGATTGATATGCTACATATGGAGAGCATCACGCCAAGTATTGACGACAGCATACGGCAACCCGGCCCACTAAAGTGCTCTGCGCTTAAAAATATAAATTTTGTTGAACCTGAGATCCGGTGGCCATCCCTTGACGCTATGTCGTTGAAGTCCTCTTTGCCACGTGTGTTTATCATGCGCAAAGCTGAAAGAGATACAGGTTGAAAGCGCAGTGATAAAATGGGTTGAGTGGAACTACTGCATATAGTCTGTTGCCGTAGCTTTTCAAATCCTGAAGAGTTGCCTGGAGGGCTGCAACGCCAGTTGTAAAATAGGAAAACCTCCGTACAGTGAATTCTCTGATATTACAAAGTTTTAAATTGCCTGTGGTTACTCCATAGAAATGCATGTATTTGTCACCTTTGTGAAACCGAGTGACAGTGGGAGACAACCTTAAAATAATGAATTCCCTCCACCAACGACCCATTGATCTTGCTCCCGATTTCATCTCTTCAGCCCAACCAAGCAGCAGCTGCATGCATCTTCTACTGTTGCCTGTCAAAAACTGAACGTAAAGGGGCATCACATGCACGGCGTGCATGTAGCGCCAGTGACAGTACACACGAGTGTGACAGTGCACACTCGTGTGTGTGCACGTAAGTGTGTGCAAGGCGGCCAGGGTGCAAGGTGCATGAAACGGGCAAAAATTATTAGAAATCACTTGCTTTGCCACCTAAATAGCTGGAAAACTGTTGCGTGCTCCAGGCACGAAAATCTGTTCGAGGCTGATTTTTCCACAACGCAAGAGTAGATTGCCTTTCAATCCCCAAATTGAGCATCCAGCTGGAAATTCAAGATGGTCACCAAATAGTAGGTAGTGATTTTCATCAACCCAGTCACAAAATACCGGTGCTGCACTCAAAAGTCACAGGTTCTACGAGTTTCTCAACATCTTCATTTAGAATAATATTGCCAGGAGTGCCCCGCTGCGGTGCTCTAGTGCTTAAGGTACTCGGCTGCTGACTTGCAGGTCGCGGGTTCAAATCCCGGCTGCGGCGGCTGCATTTTTGGGACGTTAAACCCCACATATCTGTCAATATTGCCAGGAGTAGTGGAATCAGCAGAAGGTGCAGCAGCAGGGATTTGTCGTGGTCCAACATAGCAGAAGGTGCAGCAGCAGGGATTTGTCGTGGTCCAACATATCTCTCTTTCACACAGTTGTGCCAACCTTCCGCTGCCGCCACTGGCATGATTGCTTACCGTATTTACTCGCACAATCCTCGCACCTTCCACATCGCCCAACAAAAATAAGTTTTTTTTTTTTGCTCGTGTAATTATCGCACCCGCAAAAATTGCTGCAATAATGCCGTCTGCTCGTTCCAGCCGTTGATGATAGCGCGCGCCATCTGGTGCCATCTCTTAAGCATCAAGTGTACTGTTAGTGCACGGAGATTCAATGCAATTCAAGCCAGGCCAAAGCGGCAAGTGCATGTTGCGGCGTGTTTTGTATGTTGTGTCGATAATCTTGTCACGTTATGGGGCAATACTGAAGCTACACGGCTGCTTTCAAGTTGAAAGTGATTAATCATGCACTAAACAACGGCAACAGGGCCGCCGTTAGGTCCTTCGGAGTTGACAAGTTTTGTGTTTGCTACTGGTGACGGCAGCTGAAAGCCACCAAGACGCGTTGGGCCTGCCGTGTGTCTAAGACTGGGATTGATGGTAAACTTCATTTCTTCAGTAGGAAACTGCGGACGATTTTGTTAAATGGCCATCAGCCCAATACTGACATCCTGCGCTTACCTTCTGAGGGTTCCTGTTGAGTGACGAATGCTACCGCGCTTTGCGTATGGTATTCTAGATCTCGACTAAATAAATCCTGCCTTGTGTTGAACCTCTGCTTTTATTTTTAGCTAAATCTTAATTAGTACTTCTCAAAGCTTGCTGTTAGTTGCTGGTGTGAGAATCCCGATTTGCGGCCACTTCGTTTTCTTTTTCGCCCTGTACCTCTTTGTGGAAAGTTTTTCCCGCGTAATTCTCGCACCCCCCAACTTTGCATCAGTTTTCCGCCGGAAAAAGTGCAAGGATTATGCGAGTAAATACGGTATGTAGCTTCTGTTAGTCAATCTTCCCAATTAACTTGAAAGAATTAAAGCAATTTGGTTCCATGTTTCCCGTGCATAACTAGCATTCGGTACAAAACAACCAGGTCTGAATATAGGTAAACACTCACGTATTCACTTCATTTCAAAACACGAGTTGGTAGAAGTAGGGGAATTGGTGTTGGCAGCATTAAACGCTCAATTTGCGATTTTGGTAGACTACAAGACCTTTTTCTTCTCTTTTTTTGCACTGGAAGTAGCGAGGCTGGGGTGCTTCAGCTGCCAATCATTAGCATTGCTACGTCGCATTGCCTTGCGACTCTCAAGGGTCATCGTTTCCACGGATTTGCGGCGAAATCGGCATCGGGTATCAGTACCTAAGTCGAACATGGTTATATCGAACTCAAAGGGGATCGCCAATTATTTCAATGTTTGAAAAATGCGATATAAACATATAGAGGCCCCAAGAGCTTACCTGTTGCGGATCATCACCTACAATAGACGCATTCAAAAATCGGAAC